GCACAGAATTTGTCAGGCAGAAACTAAAAATTACTTTTCCTAACTTTTATAATTTTAATAATTGTACGTATTATATTAGACATTTAAATTAGTTGAATGGATTAAAATAATATAAATTGTAAAACTCCAATATAATAAAATAGCCAAACCTTGTATTTAAGATAAATAAAAGCCCGGGCATCAGTTTAGAGCTAGCCATGAATATTGGTCGGAAAATTATTGCTCTCAGTGCGGTGCACGTGGTAATACCTGGTAATACCTAATGTGTCACCTTTCCACTTCACTGGGGAATGACCACTGCCTGCTGAGGCAACTGAATGTAAATACAGCATGCAGTGGCTGGGAGCAAAAGCCAGCCTCATATTGTCTATTGGCGCTATATAAATCCTGTATAATAATAATAATATTGGCTATTTTAAATTACAATAGTAGGCTGGCTATTGCACCCGCCTGCTGTCAATCAGCAGAGGAGGGAACTGAAAGAGAAAATTCTCCTTCAGGTCCTCCTCTGCTGGGTGGGTACAATAGCAAGTCTGCTATTGGCTATTGCAATTTAAAATATCCAATAGCAGGCTGGCTATTTTTTCCTGCCGCTGATGGGAGACTTGACGCCGATGTTCTATCGATCCCTTGGACTCGTCCGAGGGATTGATAGAACACCAGCAGAAGAGGGGGAACTGGAGGGAACGGGGGCAGTGAAGGAGGAACGGGGCAGCAGCGCAGGTACCAGGGGGGGCAGTGGGGGAATATAGAGTTACCGCAGTCTCTTCTCCCCGCTTGTGCCGGCTGCAGAGGGCAGTGTCCCCGCTGCCTCTGCCGATACAGGCGGGGATTGAAAGGGACACAGACCGCTGCAGCCAGCACCAGCGGGGAGGAGCAGGGCGGCGGTGACAGCGGCAACTAATCGAAAATCAACATCGTTGTCAACGATTCTCATTATCGATTTCATCTTTTAGTTGTTGCAGCCCTAGATCCATGCATGGATCACCTGCTGATTGGAACTGAAGGCACTCATGTGAAAGGGCCTAACTCCTCTATGAAGGATACAGGACACTGGATGCTGCCAATATCATAACAGATCAGGAGACCTACTTGACCACTGAATCACTTTCCCCCTGTTGTTCTTCAGAAATGCAACAGTGGCCTTAGATGTGTGTTTTGGATCAATGTCATGTTGGGAAAAGTGCCCGACGACCAAGGTCGTGGAGTGATGATAGCATCTTCTTTCAATATAGAGCAGTACATCTGTGAATTCATGATACCATCAATGAAATGCAGCTCCCCGACACCAGCAGCACTCATGCAGCCCCACAGAAGGACACTGCCACCACCATGTTTCACTGTAGGGACCATGCATTTTTCTTTGTACTCCTTACCTTTGTGACGCCATACAGTTTTGAAGCCATCAGTTCCAAAAACATTGATCTTGGTCTCATCACACCAGAGTACAGAGTCCCAGTAGTCTTCTTTTTCAGCATGGGCCCTGGAAAATTGTAGGTGGGCTTTTTTGTGCATGGGTTTAGGATTAGGAGAGGCTTCCTGCGTGGACGACACCCATGCATGCCATTCCTCTGCAGTGTACGCCATATTGTGTCACGGGAAACAATCACCCCAGTTTGGCTTTCTACTTCTTTAGCTAACTGCAATGAACTTGCATGGCGATTTTCTTCAACCCTTCTCATCAGAAGATACTCCTGTCGAGGTGTAAACTTCTGTGGATGGCCTGGATGCCTCTGTGAAATAGGTTGCAGTTCCATCTTTGTATCACTTTTGCTACCATATTTTGACAGATAAGTAAAGCTGTGCTGATCTTCTTGTAGCCTTCACCTTGCTTGTGTAAATAAATGATTTTGTTTCTCAGGCCTTGTGACATTTCTCTTTTATGTGGTGCCATTGCTGACAGCATGAAATGGGAAGGGATTTTGTTTGTTAAGAAACCCCCTTTTATAATCAACTGTCTGCTGGACACCTGTGTAATGAATAATTATACTCACCTGTAGTTTTATTCTTGTTAATTAGGATTTTGTTATCTAAAATTTAGCTTTGCTCCTTTGACTTCCAATGGGGTGTATTTATTTTTGCAACATGGTGTTGAATGAATTTGTTAGCAAAAATACTTTTTTGTGTGTGTAAATGAACAAATCTTGGTTGCAATCAATGGCCTGCATTTGTGGGAGTATTTTGTGGGAGAGAGAGAGAGATCCCCTTCACTTTCTTCAACTTTGTTATGTTGCAGCCTGATACAGTTGTTTAGAAAAAAAAAAAAGCTTTGTCAACCTGGGACAGGAACTGCTGTTATGGGCCGGATAATCAGGGAAGAAATGTGCAAACAGATTTGTAGAAAATTAATAAAACTGTATAGAGTCAGACATGAAACCGACCATACTGAGAAATAGATTTCTACATTAAGTACTGTCTCTAGTCCTATCCTGCTCCTCAGGGAAAGGAATCATGCTGATGAATCAACCCACCTTGTCACTCACCCAAACCAGATCCATGCAGCAGATAGGACCACGTTTGCAGCTTGAAGCCTCTGCCATACGTCTCAGAAAGCTGCTAAAATAGGGTTCTCTCTTATGTCAACTCCATCGTCCCTGAGCAGATGAAGGCAGCTTTTAGTAACGCCCCTGAGGAGGACAGGAGAACATAGAGGATGGAGAAGAGAGGAGAAAAGAGAGAGTGGAGGGGACAGGAGAAGAGAGAGGATGGGGAGGACAGAGAAACAGTGAGGAGGTACTTACGCTCGCATATAGCCAGCTTCACAGCCAAAGAGCATGGAGCTGGCTTTCCGGCCAATCAGGGAAAGCCGAGTGGTGAGTCATTACCCACTGCCTGGCTTCCTGACTGGCTGGGAAGCCGGCTTCATGTTCCTCGCGGCACTGCCGGTCAGAAGAAATCTTCTGGTATCGGAGCATTTGGACGAGTGCGAATATTCACCCAAATGATCAGTATTGGCACCAATACTAGTATCGATATGACTGGATTCCTAACGGAAGGGAGCAGTGGCGTAACTAGAACCTTCAGGGCCCCGGTGCAAGAAACCATGAAGGCCTCCCCCTACCGCAATGGCACCACATGGTTAACAGGAAGGCTGCCGAGGTCCCCAGCAAGCGCGGGACCTCAGGCAGCCGCTTGTTTAAAATGTTAGTGCGGTGTTCTGTCGAGAGCGCCGACCCAGTATCTGCGCTTACGACACAGACGGGATTAACGAGGAAACCAGCATTTATTTACAAAGTATTCGTTTATAATGGTTAATTGTGACCATTAATAATATACCGTCTATGGCAGTAAATGAAGGATGGAATATTATTAACGGTCACAATTAACGATTTTAATTAATTACTTTGTGAATAAATGTGTTTCCTCGATAATACTGGTCTATGCGCAAGCGCAGATGCTGAGATCGGCAAATTAGACTACGTCGTCGTTCTCGACAGAACACCGGTATCTGCGTTTAGTATTCGGCTATGCCAAATGCCCCCAACCCCCCCCCCCCCCAACTATAATGCATTGCTGGGACTTGTAGTCCTCTATAGCTGATGCATTTCTGCAAGTGCTGCAATGCAGAATGGCACCAGCTATAGGGGACTACAACTCCCAGTAATAATTTATACAGAAATGCAGATTAGTTCCATCAGCTATACAGGACTACAAACTCACAGAACATACAGGCACAGAGATTAAATCACTTACCTTATCTAACTGTCCTCAAGGCTGGAACACCATGCAGCAGGGGTGTGTATTCAGGAAGCTCCCGGCCGCGGCCCCAGCGCTGGCTGTGGTACAATTAGACCCAGTGTGTGGCTCTCTGCCTCACTTGCAGGGCGGCCAAGCGGATGGCGCCCCTGCGCCCCCAGCATTCCCCTGACCTGCCACTGGTACTAGCGGGCCCACCTCCTCCTCTCCTCGCGCTGGCTCGGTCCCGCACCGGCGGTACTTCCCCTCTGCCTTGCGCCTGACGCTGTTTGAAGACGAGCTTCTGGTGGCCGAGTCCACCTGCAATGGGAGAGGGGAGGGAGGGGACGCGGTCATTGCTGGCGCCGAACCGAATCTCGCTGGGCCACGGGCCCCCGCATGTTATGCTACCAGGGTCGCAATTGCGACCCTGGTAGTTCCGCCAGTGGTAGGGAGACAATGACACGACCTCGTCATTCTGGAGGTGACTGACAGGACATGGTGATCTACACAAGTACGAGCTAAGGACTGCAGATCTAAGGGGACCTGTAAGGCTTAGGATGAGCAGTACGGATTAGGATGAGCTGTGCGGACAAGGGTGACCTGTAAGGATTAGGACGAGCCGTGCGGACAAGGATGACCTGTAAGGATTAGGATGAGCAGTGCAGACTAAGATGACCTGTAAGGATTACCCCTGTAAAGATTACTAAGAACGCACATTGGGGGTTAGAATTAGCAGTGTGCATTCAGATAACGTGGACAGCATTTACATGACCAAAAAAAGACGAAGATATAAAAATACACGCATATATATATATCTATGTTTATTTATTTAGCTACCTGAAATGTCATGGATAGCAATGGTGGAGGTGTGGAGAATTGCACAGGACAGCAATGCTAGACGTTCGGGTCACGCATGCCCTGTAGAGCGTAGTGGAAAATGTGACAGGGCGTTATAGCGTATCAGCCAAGCTCAGGGACGCATGCGCAGTATGCCTATTAAAAAGCTCTTCGCAGCAAGCACATCAAACCAGCTAAGGTTATAATGAATGTCAGGCACGCAAGCACAATGCGGCGCTTTCGAGAGCTCCTCGCAGCACACCTGTCATATCGGCCAATGACATAATTGACTTATGCGCAGTAACGCTCTTGGCTTTTGCGACAGAACAGCCCATTTATGCAGGACGCATGCGCAGTGCGCCTCATTTTTCAGTGTAAAACGTAAACTGCTGCCGACGGAAGTGACGAATTTGGCAAATCTGATAGCTTAGCTTTTGTGACAGAACACAGGACCAGTGTAACCCTGAAAAGCTCAGTTCCTGTTGCTGGCAGTTCTTAAAAAAAGGATATAGAGTGATTGAATCGCGATGAGTAATGTTGTGGAAGACGAGGAGGATGATTACATGTCCGATAACTTCATCAACTCCTCGTAAGCAGCGCACAGTCATTTCACGTCCCATGTCGGCTCACTGGCTTTATGGGGTTTTATTTAGTTTTTACTGAACCTGCCCTGTAAGCAGTGCAGATATAGGCTTGTCACTTTCCATCATATAGACCTGCATGTAGCCTTTATTAGTTTTAGAATGGGAGCTTAAAACAAATATTGTGAATCTTGGTGTTTTATGTGTATTTCTAACAGATCTGTACCGTAATCCAGTGTGAAACTTTGTCTGCTGTACATGAGCTTCCTGCAATGAAGGCAGTCACTGCTGCTCTCTCTCATTGTGCAGGGTGGCCAGTCTTGTATCCAGCTCCCTTCTGTAGTTTTTGGGCTTGTTCACACCAATTGTGTTGCGTTCCAGAGCGGGAGCTCACAAAACTCCCTCCTTCGTTCTGGGGCGGGAGGGGGCGTGGTGGTACATTGAAGTCATTGGCACCGCAGTCAGGCCCCCCCACCCACTGTACGATCGGACACGTGCCAAAACAATGCCTCCGTTCCTTTCCACTGCAAACGCAAAAAATGCTGCATGCTTTATTTCTTGCATTTGCAGTGGAACGGAACGCAGGCAATGTTTTGCCACGCGTCCGATCGCATGGTGGGCGTGGCTGCGGTGCCATTGACTTCAATGCACCGCCTTGCCCCCTCCCGCCCCAGATTAAAGCGGCAAGTTTTGTGAGCGATTGCGGTGCGTTCCAGCAGCTACCGCTCTGGAACGCAATGCAATTGGTGTGAACAAAGCCCTTCAGTAGGCAGCCTGAAGTGGGTTATCCCGCTGGGTTCCTCCTACAGCTCTGCTCTCTGCACAGGCTGTGTACAGCACTGTGATTATGTCACTGCTATTTTGTACAATAACTAGGTTTTAAAGGCGGTTGGTGCACTTAAACTGGATTTATATCCTTTGCGGCTTTTGAGGAATACTGTATAGTTCAATTAATGTTTTACGTCCGGAGTTCACTTTTAGATAACCTGTATGTTGTGGGCTTTGGCCACATTTGATGGGTGACTGACTTTTACTGCCCTTTGAAAAGGGATCTGTAGTAATCAGCACTTGTATAAAATTGGCCTTGAAGCAAAGCATCACAACTGGTGCATGTGTATAAGCCTGAGTGGCCACCATGTTAAGTTTTAGGTGCATGGTCAAAACATGGGTCACCCACCTATTTTTACCACCCCTTTGCTGCCCCTGTGAACGAGGCCATCCAGTAAATAATTTTCATCAGGGCAAAGTAGAAATTTCCAACAGTATTAAATGGAGGCTCTCTTAGGTGCATGCAGATTCCATCTCAAGTGCCTCCAGACCCTAAAAACCTGGGGACTGGGATAAGGAAATACCAGGAGAATGGGGATGCTAATGGATGATCCACTCTGCCCCACCTTGATTTTGGTTACTCAGCATGCTGGTCACTTTTAAAGTGGAAGTGTAGTTAAAAAAATGTTTTATTGCATTGATTTATAATGTACACATAAAAGGCCCTTTCACGTCTATTCCTGAGTTTTTTGATGCATTGTAGGGATGCGTTACATTTCAGTGGGTCCATTATGTGTGTCGACACACTATAAAAGATGTACCCGGCTCTTGTTTTTTTAGCACACTGCCAGGGAACGCATGTATTCATTCTATTTGTTTTTGGTGAGCTGACAAGCAGATGCATTTTGTTTACTACACATATACTACTTGTGGGTGCCATTGCACTTGCACAGCGTAAAATGTGCATACGTGGCTATGAAGCCACCCAAAGTGTCCTATCATATAATGAAATTGTTGCTTGCAAAATTCTTTGATGAGGGTCTAAAACTAAACCCCTTTGTTCAGTGGCAGCACAAAAAGGGGCAGCAATTCTACCACTTCTGGGGCTGCCAGAACCCACTTGCAGTGCAGGAAGTACTGACATTGTGTGCACTCCTCAGTTGGATCCTTCTAGTGACGGAGACACTTCTGAACCCACCCATCTGTGACCTGGGCGCCTGGAGTGACCAGCCTCCTTTCCAGCAACTATAGACCTTGGACTATGGAGAACTCCCTTGCAAATCTTGGGGTTCAAGGAACTACTATCCCAGATTTATGTGTGGAGTGGATATGCTGCATATTTCCCCTGGCATTACGTTTAAGTCACCCTGTGCCCATTATAGCTACAGGATGTGGAGCCAGCATCACTGAAGGGGGTTAACTCTAGACTTCCCATTGAACTTGTTACAGTTTATTTGTCCATTTGTTTCATTGTGTTAATGGTGGGATAGGTGTAGTTGAGTAGATTATCCTATGCTAGACACTCGGGAGATAATCCCATCACATTTGTTTTCCCTCTCCCTATTCTTTCATGACGGCACCGGGTAGGGGATTGTTTTGATTGTGTTTTTATGTTTTTAGACCACCAGAACTGTATAAATACTGTGCTGGCTTTCAGTTCTTGTTTTTACTCCAAAATGTGTGCGGTCTGATTCTTGGGGTAAACAACTGCTATATTCAATATCTTCTGGTTCCAGAGTGGAGGAAGCTGGATTCTGACAGAGGTACCCAGTCGGGGGTCTGGGCGGGTCCAACACACCATTCGCTTTGGTGGACAGCCTTACAGCTCCCCCCCACTAAGGAGGATGTTGAGAGTGTCATTTCTGATGGTGAAAACAGTGGAACATGCCTGTGCAATGTGGGTTGGCACAAGCGCTTGTTGTCCGCATTGGCAGATTGTGTGACAGGGTGACAATGGAAGGTAAACTTTAAGGGGCAGGGACAGAGCATTGTCACCCTAAAGCAGTGGTTCTCAACCTTTATAGTGAGGGGAAGACTGCTATCCCCTCTCACTGTGCACACGGAGCGGCAGGGTTACTTTTAACCCTGTCGGGGAAAAAAAAAAAAACTTTCTCCTGGAAAGGTTTAGTCTGCTCGATGAGAAAGTTTTTTTTTTTTCTGACTTACGGCGGCCCCGATGTCAGAAAAAAAAAGAGCAGAGAAAGCGCTTCTCTCCTGGGTAGCCGGAAGCCGCTAGGCGACCCCTGGCAAATCGTCATTCGACCCCCAGGTTGGGAACCACTGCCCTAAAGGCAATGTATACACCGGTTTGAGATGGTGTAAAGCAGTGTGTACAGCAAGCCTTTGCAAAGCATGTATAAGCTTTTGCCAAAAAGTTTTGTTGAAGCCTTAAAGAAGATGTCAGTGCAAGTATTTGGATATTAAACAGAAATCTTAATGGGAGTGCTCAAGTAGTTTTGAAGCCTACTTGCATGTTACAGTCATTGAGTAATCAGAATACAAAATTCCTAGACAATCCTAAGATTATATTGTAACGTGCAGGCACCACAGGGTGAAGGCTAAGAGGGGATGTTTGTATCGCTGGTGAGACTGAAACGCCTCGCTAATGGGTGGTCTTCACAATGTGGTAAATAATATCTGCAGTGTAGTTCAAGAGATCTTTATTCCGAGGCACTATTTGCTTGTGGCCAGTGATGGTATAGGTTCCGAAGAAGCCACATATGAGGTTCCACAGTATAGGGCTTCCCAGTGGAAGCTGTTTCCTGTGGAATTACATGCGTGGCTTCTCCTTGAGACACCGCTACCTTTATGTCCACAAGAGAGTGTTGCATCTTAATAAGGATCCCTTGAACTCCATCCTGGCTATTTACCACGTGGTGGAGACCACCAAGCGGCGACGTGTTTCAGTCTCATCAGCAAGTGCATTCCAACATCACCAGATTAGTCTATTTGCGGATGGATTGCAGAGATCATTTTACCTTTTCAGTCCATCCACAAACTTTCCTTTGTATTCTGGTGATGCTAGAGTGCAACTGCTGATGAAACAAACCACTGGATGGTGGGTGGTATATGACTTCATGACTGCTGTGTTTACTGGATAGAATTAGCGGCTCACCGAATGAATTATTTGTTGCCTGGTATTTCTGTTCAATTTCAAGATCAATGACTGAAAAACAAATCTACACCATGCATTTGTAACTATGTTTATTTTTTCCATTCCAGAAAAGATGTTCGTCCAGGAATACCTGTTCCAAGAAGTGTCAAGGCATCCTATGAGAAAGAAGAAAGACAAAAGGAAAGTAACATAAAGAACAGACAGAAAAGCTTGAAGGAGGTGGAACAAGAGAGAAGAGACACAGTTCTGAATGAGGCTCTTAGCAATAAAAACAAAGGGTTTGCGTTACTTCAGAAGATGGGCTATAAAATGGGTGAATCCCTTGGCAAAAAAGGTGACAAATTCATAGATACATTTTGTGAAATGCATTTTAGTCTGTGCCCAGTTTATGTATAGTATGCAGACATTTTTACAGGCTTATTGTATAAAGAAAAGAGAGAACTGCAAGGTTTAGTAACCCTACAACAATATGACTTCCGTAAACTGAACCGTTGTAAGTGTCATGGTGGTGACTACGTTGTTGTGAACCTCCAACTACACTGTAAGGAAAGGCCAATGAGAGGAAGTAGATTTACTTGGGAAGTGTTGGCCGACAGGATGGTGCTGGACCATGGGAGGTAGTAAAAGTTTGCATTTCGTAAATGTGAAAAACAGTTGCAGTCCTAGAAGATATTCATCTGCAGACAGTTTAATTATACTCAGATGGAAAGGAAGTACTCTTTCTTCAGCTGGCTCTGCCTCTAGATGGGCAGAGCCAGCTGTCAGTCACGCAGCTGGGCGGATCCCTGAACAATGGTCGGGTTCCGCTTCAGCTGCGGCGTCTCAGTATACCACGAGCTAGAGCTCGTGGTATACTGAGCCTAGGGTGACGGGAGGACGCTAGTTTGTGTCCTCCCGTTACCCTAAGGAGAACTATGGGGAAAAGACTTAACCCCATAGTTCTCCTTTAACCATATCTGGACTTACCGTAAGCGCCCTGAATAATGGGACTTGATCTAAAATGCAGAAGAAGCTCTTGCTTATAATGCGTAATTTCTCGCTCACACAACAGTGTCTGCAGTTTAAATAATAATTATGATATAGTAGTGTTATCATTGCTATATTGTATTTTCTCTGGCTCATTCGTACACATTAATAATCGGCTAACTAATCGATTTTGAAAATAATCGTTAGCTGCAGCTCTACACAGGTCCTAGATTTACAATGCTCCCGCAGTGTACTGTACGTATGGAGGAGCAACGTTGACACTATAGGCTGCTCTCCTCATTTTGACTACAAACACCTCCCCCTTTCCTCATCTCCATTACATAGACCTGAGGTGTTTTGTAGTTCAAGCTATCTTTTTTAGCTTTGGATAGAGTAAGGAAGGGTTAGAAACTCTTTTGGGTTTTTCCCCAGTCATTTTCCAGGACAGCCAATGGGAGAAAGCTCTGCCTGCCTTGAAGGCAGGAAACGCAATATCCACATTAGATTAAAAAAAAGAGCCTCCTACAATCCCACCTCAAGTGTTTTTTTTTGTTTCCTCCAGCCTAACAGAAACATTGTTTAGTGTTAGTCGTGCTAGTTGCAGAGGGTTATGGTATCTTGAACACAGTGACAGGTGTTTCTTGAGGATCTGCATACATGGGCTTTCTGATCGGACCCCCAACCGATTTTTTTTCCCCATAGTTCTCTTAAGGGTCACTGGAGGACATATACTAACCTCCTCCAATGACCCAAAGCTCAGTATATGGCGGGCTACAGCTCGCAGTATACTGAGACCGCCGCAGCTGGGACGGATCCCGACCTTACTGTCTATCTAGAGGCAGAGCCAGCCCCTTCCCCTATCCGTTCTTCCAGTCCGCGCTGGAGGATCGGAGAGGGGGAATCCCTGCAGGGAGCCGTGACTGACAGTCACGGCTCTCTAAGAGGGAGATGATTGAGAAGTGAGTGAGCGAGCGACGATATGTGTTCGCTCACTTCCCGATCTATTGAGCCACCGTGTGACAGTTTCATTGTCACACGTCGGCTCAAACTATGAGGGTGAGTGGAAATCGCTCACCTCATAGTTCTCCTTTTTTAAAGTGTATTTCCTCTTTCACAGCCAAATAGGGATAACACCTGTTTTATATTTGTTACATGTTCCCATTCCTCATAGTTCTCAAGTATAGGGCTCAATCAATTTGGGTGGAATTCACACTATATTGAGTGTGAGAAGGGCTTACTTGTCTGGTGGGATTATTTTTCTTCTTTTTTTTTTTTTTATGGTGGAATTTATGGAGGGGAGGTGGGCAGGATAGGGTGGGTTCAGGCAGGGCAACTGGTGGCAAGTAACTTTTAAGGCCTGACTAGTAGCTCAGGACCTAAAATTTTGAGCCATGGATTAATTGATCATAATTGATAATAAGAATAGTTGTCAACTATTCTCATTATCGATTTGTTGGATCACCTAGCTCGCTCTAGCTGGGAGGAGGGCACAGCAAGCAGTGGGCGGGTGCAATAGCCAGCCTGCTATTGGCTATTGAAATTTCTTACGTTTCCTCCATTACAGCTGCTAGTTCCTAGTTCGCTCTGTCCATAAATATCCTGCAGCGGAAGGAGCTTTAGGAATAGTGATCACAGCCCTGATCCCTCATCAACTATTTCCTCCTCTACTGCTCCAGCCAGTTGACAAAATCAGAGGGATCTTCTGATGGTCCAGAAACCCAGAAGTGTTTGGATTAGCCAGATTTCCTGGCTAAAATCTGAATTGTTTTTGCCTATAGAGCTGAGTAGTTTTCACTAGGATAGGAAGATAGACTTTAAAGTAGAGCTAGGAGCAAAATTAAAGATTACATATATGCTGCGTTCTGTAAGCAGTTAAGTTTCAGTTACAAGGCTTAGCATTTACCATATAACACTGTGTGTGGTAATTACAACAGTCTTCTTTTATTCATATCGTTTAAAAAAAAAAAAAAAAAAAAACAAATCCTGGAACACCTTATAAATTTTTTTTGTTTTTTTTGTGGTGTG